TGTCCAGGGTCAAGCACAATGGCAGTTGCTATAGATTCACTGGGAGCCAGGGTGTGGCTCAGTCCATTAGGTGTGGCCCTGAGGTCTTGGTGGTATGTCCTGGGGCTACCTCTGAAGGCTCTTTGCTATAGTTTCAGGGTTTAAACACAGCTATAAGCTTGTGGAAAAGGGGACCAGCACTCATTCAGCTCACCAATTCAGCTACCCTGGGGGGGGGGTTGGTTCCTGTTAAGGACAAGACCTTGACTACTAGGGGAAGGAGGTAGAAGCATTCCAGAAAAGGAGACTTTCTGGCACATGGGAAGGATGAAGTGTAAGAGGCTGTGACGCCTGGGTATGGCGAAAGCAAATGCCCAGGGAACTTGGAAGAACCCTGGTATAACGTCTGGTCACCTCGGGCAGCTCCAATGCCACAAGCTGTGTGGCTTATAAAGAATACACATTTGGGAGTGCCAAGAAGACCCAAAGGGTCAAGGTACTTGCTGCCAAACATGACAGTATTTGACTCCTAGCACCATGTGGTAGAAGTAGAGAACCAATGCATGAGCTCACATAGTAAATGTGACTGGAAAAGATACACATTTGCACTGGCCGGTGGACACATACCTTTAATCCCAGCCCTTGAGAGGCGGAGCCATGAGGCGAGCCTGGTCTACAGAGTGAGTTCCATGCTAACCAGGCTACACTGAGAAATCTTTTCTGGAAACAACTAAGAACACATTTGACCTCATAAAATCAAACTAAATCCCATTTGTGAGGGTTCTGTCCCTGTATTGCCATGATTGCACCTCCTAGTGTGAGCATAGGGTTTCAAACTTGCGACTTTAGAAAGGGCACATAAATGGTTAAACCATAGCATAGGTTGAGATACCATTTCTTCCAGCCTAGCCTACAAAAGCTAGTTCCAGGACAGGCTCCAAAGGTACAGAGAGAAATCCTGTCTCAAAAAAACAAAAAACAAAACAAGATAACATTCCTTCCAAATAACCCTCTGGTCCACCACAATGTATCAGTAGGGCTCATAGGTACTTTCATCCATCCCAGAGAATATCTTGTATAGCCATTGTTTGTGGGGGTTCTATAAAGCAGTAATACAAATGGTTTTGTCTGTTTGTAGGATGAACATACAGGTAACAGCCTGCATGGGGGTAAGCCACAATGTTTGGCCAATTCTAATTTGGGGGGGGGGGACTTGCTAAAGTGCAGGATGCTGTGATGAGGACAGGGGTTAACAACCCAGTTATTTATTAACTAGCACATTAACTCCAGCAAGCAGTGATGTAGTCCTATTACAATCAACCTCATCAGAACTGGCATCCCTTTGCACATTCCAAAGACTTCCCTTCCTTCCTTCACAGTAAAGCTGTTTTGGGTGCTTTATCAACTACCTACTGCGCTGTGTGCAGTCAGTCATTCACCTGCAGTTTCACACAGTTTCCCCCCCAACCAAAAGCTCTGGTATACAGAGGGACACTCTCCATCCATTTAGTTGGTTTCGGTATCTAACTGGCCAATGACATCCAAACTTGAAGCCTTACTGTTCTCCCATCTGTGGATATGTAGTAGAGCTCCATATTTCACTGCTTTCTCAACTATGCTCTACACCCTCGCTCTGTTCTCAGCACTTCATTCCCATTCTCCAAATCTATGCCATCAAGACCACTGGTCTCCCACTATCTTAATATTGACATACACCAGTCAGTGGTGTGCTGCTCTATAGAACCAGGCATGTCCACACTATGCCCTTATCATACACATACCAGCACAAAAGATGTGAAATAACTTACAGCCAATACTCCCCAATGTCAGTTCCATCAAGCCAACTGAGTTCTGCAAAATGACTTCACTGGTTTTTGTTGTTGTTGGAGGCAGGGCCACACTGTAGATCAGGCTGGTCCCAAATTCACCTCAGTCTTTTCTTAGCTGATGTCACAGGTGATTTAATAGTAAGCACATATAATTGAACTATAAACCGGCATGTGAAATTCCTAAGTTTAACCATTATCAGTCTTGGGAAGGTACATAGACTGCCACAGTCTATAATGACCTTAACATCAGACCTTCTCTCCTGGTTCCCTACTGTATGAAAGAACTACTGGGAGAGGTCATATAGGGATGGAGAGCCTTAGTCAACTCTAGACTAGAGTGAGGGCACGGTTAAGGATGCCAAAGAGGGCCCAAATGTCTAGTATGGGCCCATGGTGAGGAACTTTTTGGGTAACAAATGCCATTACTTCATAATTGGGATGTAATGGGTTTATAGTTTGTAACTGTTACATCTAGTCTCCAAGATAGCCTCTTAAATAGTCCTGGAGTATGGGTCTGGTAAACTCTTTACACAATCCCTTGCTTAAGATGGAGGTAGCAAATGAGAACAGAGAAAACACTGGAAATGAACCAATGAACCAGTCAGCTTTCCCACTTCTAACATGGGGAGGTATAGACCATACCAGGGGCCAAATAAGGAAACATCCCCAAAGCCTACAACCTCAAGAGTACTGAAAATTCTAGCCCAACATGGCATCTACTTACATAGCAATGGCTAATCTCCACCAATGTGACTCAAATTCAAATCACTTAGGATTGGCTCTGAGTACGCCTGGCTTGCACAAGGCCTGGATGGAGCTCTGTCCCCAGAACAGAAGAACACATCAGTGAAACATGCCCCTCTGGCTGTTTGTGGAATAGTAGCAGGAAGAGGATGGCTCTGAACCGACAGTACCATCTCTCACGAACTGGGGATCCAGAATATACAAAAGAAGAAGAGAAGGCCAGCAGCATCAGACATCCCTCTTCTACTTCTTACCCACCATACTTCCCTTGCTAGGATGAAGGGAAAAGCTGAGCTAAAATCTCGTCAAGTTTATTTCAGCAACAAAATTTCCGAGTAACATTATACACTTTTGAGAGAATTCTGAAAGCTGCTGCCTAGAGACAGGAGCTTATGTAAATTATATGTAATGGGTAAGTGCCCGTACACTAGGGGTCGTCTGCAACCCCAAAGCCCAGGAGGCTGAAGTGTGGCTTCTAAGACAGCCTGTGCTATGTAACAAAGCCTCTCAAACACCCAGGAGACAAGTCTACTGCAAAGTTGCCCTTTCTTCCTGGAGGTTGTAAATCTATTCCTTCAGTTGGCGGCTTGAATACACTCAAGAATTTCACTTCTGGGGCTTGTGAGCATTATAAACATGTTAAAGAGCCAAACTATCACTGGTATGAGTCCATGAAGGATATTTGAAGGCAGTTTGAATGTCTTCTCAGTCTGAACTTCCTCAGGTACCTGCAGAAACCCTCCCAGCTGACTTACTGAAAGCCCACTAGGCATAAGGGCACACACCTGCCATTTCAGCAGTTCACAGGTCAGGAGCTCAAGCTCAATACTACACGGTTTACAAAGACCCTCATCTCACTAACTTCTAGACAACACGGTGTTAAGGGATCATTTGGGCCTGCAGTTAAATTGGCTCCCTTTAATGCCTGCTTTATGTACTATCTTCTCCCTTTCCTTCACTCGTCTCCCAGTTTTAAACTTGAAAACATCCTTAAGCCCTTTTCATTTTGTTTAGGTTGTTCTAATTTCTCATTATTGCAGGGTAGGGTTGGAAACCTTTTGACTAGAGGTTGCAGTATTTTTCACACTTCCATCATGACTAAGTTTATACAACCCTACTACTACATCAGAGCCTCGCTATAGGCCCATAGGACTGTTCTGAGCACTGACCTATAATAAATATGAAAATCCTGCCGTCTCCTGCCATTTATCAAGAGATGACTACTTGAGGACTAGTCTGAAATGTTACAAGGAGCTGTCAGGTTTCTGAGTTCTGTTAGTCCAATCAAGCAGGCCTACATCTATACAATCAAGGAGGCCAACATTTGGTCCAGATCAAAAGCTTTCAAAACTCAATGTGTGTGAGCCTCAGTTTATAGTTTGTTGCTGTTTGGTTTTCAGTTCTACATACTGGGCTTTCTTTTTTTGGGGGGGAGGTCTACCACATTTTAAAAGGTTCTGCCATGAGAGGAAGCACCAAGCTGACCTTTTGCTGTCTAAACATAAAACACAAGAATCCCCCTTTCTTCATTACTTTAACTCATTCATCCATTTGCTTGTCTGCTACAGACAGGGAGACAAGCAGAGCCTTGTTTTAAATATAGTCTTAACTATGCTAATTGAAACCAACCCCCAGGAAAATTTTGAAAGCAAATACATAGAAACTGCTCTGCAACTAGAGATCCTCCTCTTTGGGCAAGATGTACCCCCAAGGGGATCCTCTGGCCTTGGAGAGCCATCAAGTCTGCCCCCTCACCTCGTGTTTACTCTAACCAGAGCCTTGCTCTTGCCAGACCCTATAACTTGTCTTCAGTCTGCTATTAAGGGTTCATAAGCGTATAGTTACTCACCTAAATGAGGTTCTAGGCATTCCAAGACTTTAAAAACTCTATAGACTTTGAGATTCATTCTATGTAGTCCTGGCTATCCTGGAACATGCCATGTAAACCAGGCCAGCCTCTAACTCACAGAGAGCCACCTGCCTCTGCCTCCCAAGTGCTGGGATTAAAGGTTTATGTCAACATGCCAGACTCTTGAGCAGTGAGTTGTTCCCAACATTTCTAATGTTGGATCCCTTTAATATTTCATATTGTAGTGACTCTGAACCATAAAATTTTCATTGCTACTTCAAAACTAATCTTGCTTGTGTGAATCATAATGTATCTCACGTGCAACCTCTGTGAAAGGGTCATTTGATCCCCGAAGGGGTCCCGACCCCACAGGGTGAGAACCACTGCTCTAGATGTTAATTTTATATCACTTTTTTATGTCAGGGGCCATGATTTAGTCCTATGGGGATGGTTCCCTCTTCCTTCCAAAGGAAATGGCAGATTTGAATAACCGTTAACACCGGAATTGACAAGGTCTAACTCAAGTGCTTTGGTAGCTAAATGAAAACATTCTTGATCAAGAGCTTCTTTCAAACACTAAGGAAAGAAACACACCAAGCCACTTAAAGATAGTTTATGTACATTTATGGCTTTATACAATTATAGCAAAGATTGTTCTTGTATCTGTAAGTACATCATCATCATCATCATCATCAGGCACTTCTCAGATAGTATCAGAACAGGAACATGGAGTCTGCACTGTTACTCAACTCAGGTGGTAACCTGTGTGGGAGGGCGTGACTCTATCCTGATGGGACTTACAAGGCCATCACTTGCCACAGTGCCAGGCTGTTTTGTTTGCATAAACCACAATGCACAGTATAATGAATGATCATTCCCCAGTTGAAACCACAGAGAAAATTTTCACTTAAAATCAGTTAACTTTTAAGAGCTGTAACTATGAACTGACAGGGGTCTTTCTTTGGGGGAGGGGAGGAGTCATATATTCAGCAGTTGAACAAGTTCAAATTGTACACCTTTGGGGAACTGTCCATTTTAAGTAACCCTATCCCTTACTGTTGTAGTCCAGGATTTACTGATCATCAGGATATATTTGCTAATTAACTTAGACTCAGTCAGTTTGTCCAAACAGAATTTCCCATGTCATACATCTATCACGTAAATATATTCCACACATCTATATTACGGAAACAATACATCTTTATATTTAAAATAGCCAAGGAGCTCTATAATACAATATGCTTTGAGTAACAGTACAAACCAAAGGGAATAAATCAACCATGGCTGCATAAGTGAAATCATTTCACAAAGCAATCATGTACAATAATAGACCAACTGCTCTAGAAAGGGCACATTTTTACAGAGAAGGGCTCCCAGAGGCCACATGAAGTTTGCTTTTCAAATAGACAAGAAGCGTTTCCTGGATTTCACTGTACCCAAGACAACTACCCATGACTCATGATCTTCATACTAAGGAAACTGGGGGATGAGATTTACACAGCTTCAGGAGGAAGAAACACCCAAGTCACTCAGTGACATTCTGCAAGTCTACTGATTACAGCTGTAGCTGCCTCTGTGTCGAATGATTAAATGCAGAGGCCCTTTCTGCAATGGTGAAGAAATAGGAAAGTGAGGCCTGAGTTCTCTGACACCAGTAAGTTCTACTCCGTTTGTAGAAGGCTCTGCTTGGAGGAACTAAGGTTTCTAAAATGAACCCTGTTTTGGAGTGCCCAAACAGACAATGATCAGTAGCCCCCGCCAAAAAAGTCAACAGTGGGAAGCTTATGACAAAGCTGGTCAACTGCAAAAATCAGGAACATTTGTATTCTTATTAATGTGAACAGAGAATATACTAAGCAAAAGGAGTGGTAAGAAACATACTGAAAACAGCAAATTCAATTGGTTTGTGTACACAGAAACCAGGCCTTCTCAAGAAGGCAAAGAGAGATGCTGCTGTACACATATTCCTAACATTGTAGTGGCTCGGGAAATTCAATGGGACTTAGAAATGTTGACAGATGGGATGGGAGGCAGACCTGATTATCTTGGTCTGTCAGCTACAGGTAACTAGAAAGTACTACATCTTATGTTTGAGACAGAAGTTAGGCTGCTCAAGGCTGGCAAAACTCAAATTCTTAAGCTAAGGATTTCAAAATAAATATACACTTATGGCTGGTTTGTCTTCAAGGTTATTGTCTCAATTTTTAAACTAGTTCTGTTCCATGTGTTAGCCACTATCTGCAGTTAAGAATACAAAGCACTGAGGTCCTGTTTTCAGACTTCCTTTTCCTCCTTAGATGTACACTGTTCAGAGCCAAAGAGAACAGGGATAGAGACTGAGAAGTAACATGATTCTTTAGTACACAGCCATAAAACCACCTCCAACCTGGACAAAAACAAAGAACTCGGAGGAGGAGGAAACCCCAGTTAGAGAGGGAATGTCATTCCAGATGAAGGTCTCCTTTCCTGACCTACAGACAGAAGGCCTCCCTAAGGAACCGTGACAACGTGGCACCAGGCATGTTTGGAGGGGCCTCCCTGAAGGATCTGTAAGAACGTGACACAGGGCATCCATCTCAAGACTTGATGCTATGTGCTGCACACAATTCACAGGGTAATAAAAGCAGGTGGAATTTCTTTAAAATACACACATAAAAACATATTAAATTCTTCTACATACAAAACACAAAGTGTCTGTAAATATACATCACTTTCTTGCCCAAACAGGGCCAGAAACGTTGCGTATGCAAGAGTACTAATTACAATGATTTAAGATTAGTCAGAAACATCAGCAGGTAGCATCCCAAAGTGTACAAACCAGTTAAGCACGTATAAAATTAGTACTAATCCAGTTAGAAATACAAAATGAAAATTATGAATGCTGCCCCCAAATACCTGATTCCACAAATTTACAAGCAGACAATGTAACAAAGTAGACTCTAGTTTTAAGAAAACATTACAGTTCAATATCTATTCCAAAAATGATCATGTCCTAACAATAACATCGAAAGTCATTTATCTGGAAATTAGAACCATTTTAAGGTGTTTGTACAAATTTGCAAATAACAAAATAGACAACAAAAATAGAAAAGACCTGTACAAAGCTGGCACTTAATCTTATTCTGCCCCAAAGTTTGACAAGTCCATTTATTTATTCAGCAGATTGATCACAGGCTACTTGGTTCTCATACAAATCCTGTGGCAAGATGAACAGGTTCAGAGTCACTCAGCAGAGGTGCAGAATGGAGATCTTAGTTCGTGATTCATCACCTTAACAGAACACAGGTAGTACAAAGCAAAGTTCATCAAGACACAAGACCATCACAGTATTACAAAAGAGTATAAACGTTCCTTGGACCAAGTAGATATTAAAAAAAAAACACACACACACAAATACAATTCTGTGTCTACTGTATATATACAAAACTTGAAAACACGCCAGTATCTGAAAGTCTTTTCTGCAATTACATGGTGTAGTGAGTTTGGCACTTCATTGTAACGATTTCCAATGGCACAGTCCTTATCTACAGGAGCATATAACCTGCAAACGCTGGGCAAACATCCTGTACAGGAAAGTGTTTCTGTTGCCAAGTCTGATGAAAGGAAAATAGGATTTTTTTTTTTTTTTAAATCAAGAAAACTAAAAGGAGGGGTGAAGGGCATCTTTGGACTGCTTCTCTCAGTTCCTGTTGTCAGACATTCTGCAGTTCTTTTTAATGTAGCCTAAGGGGGAGAACACACACACAATGAAAATACAGTCAAATCCAATTCAATTGCATTCAACTAGAGAGTCAGGTATACTTGGGAATGGGGAAAGCTACAGCTTTCTCAAACAGCTCCAGAATCATTAAACGGGAAATTCCTCATATTTATTTATTTTTAAAGGTGGATGGTGACCTCCCTCTGGCATCTGATTAGTAACAAATGTGCTCATTTATTCAAGAGCTGGTAGAAAGGAGGAAGCCATCTAACAGTGAAAAGAATCTATTAAAGGAATGTGCACTCTATTTTAGCCTCAAAAGGAAAATTTGTAAGCTAGTGGTGACATGGTACAGATGCTTCCCTGCAAAGAACAATTAGGTGACATTAGAAAAAAAAGTCTAGCATGATCGCAGGATGTAGCTCTGTCAGAGTGCTGCCCTAGGTTAGCTCCCTGGTACCACATAACCCAGGTGTGTTGGGATGTCAGGTTAAAAAAGACACTGTCTTAAATTTAATTTTTTAAAAGGTCTAGCCATGGAAGACACATGGCCCTGTGTCCCCTTCTAAAAAGGCCTTTTTATATCAGAATGAATGAACTTACCTGCTCACTAACTCTTAGCCTGACACCCAGCTGTGTGTTGTAGTTTTGACACTGTGTGGGAAGCTTTGGTTGGGCAACACATTATCAAAGTTAAAATCCAAAGTGTCTCCATCCATGAGGTCATTCCGAATGATAGATTCCATGTCACAGTCCAAGTGCTCAATAAGCACTCCATCTAAGTCACTTGGGAGCTTCTCCTGGTGGAGGACACCCATCCTACCATAGCCATTGCAACTGCTCACAGAAGAGTAGCTGCCCAGGGCACTCATCTGCATGGGGTGGGACAGAGGCACTTGTAAAGGTGTCTTCATGGGGGTCAAGCGGTTCATGGCAGATGTGTTAGGCATGGTGTTCACCACATGGGGCAGGGCACGTCCATTGACTGAAGACGTTTGTTGTGAATGTCCAGGGTGGGTGTGGGAATTGGGGTTCATCATTTTGTTATGAGATGCCTGGCTTCCATAGGCTGGCATGACTGAATTAGGGCCCATCATTACATTCTGGCCCAGGACCCGAATGTTGGGTTGGGCCACTCCAGGATCAACTGGTGACATAATGTCATTGTGGGGAGGAGAGTCAGAAGTCAGCAACTCTTTTAAAAGTCCTGGTGCACAGTTATACTGGTTCAAGCCTCCATAACTGGGTTTGCTGTCCTGAAGTGTCTGCATAGGCATCTGGGACAAGGGGCTCATGCTGGATTGGCCGTATGTGTACTTTGAGTAGTTTGGGCTGGGTGAATTCAGACTGGTGTTTGGCGGTGTAAATGAGTAACAAGGTGTCTGCTGCATCATGCTGCCGGGCGAAGACTGGGTTGATACAGTTAAAGATGTTGGGGATGAGAGAAGATTGAGATTATCCAAAAGGTTTTCCATGTTTTCAGGATTGCTGATTTCAGACAGACTGGGCAAAGTGGAAGCCATCTTTGCAGCAGAAGGTGGATACACCAGAGAATGGACATCTCCATCTCCCAGGTCATCCTGTTCTGTCATGATGGGAGAAAGTCTCCCACTGATTGTACTAGCATTTGAGCTGGTTCGAGGACGAAATGTACTCCAGTTATCAAAGTCATCGTTGCTGTGGGACCCAGGACTTGCAGGCCATTTAGAAAACTGAGACCCAGGGCTGTCCCCAGGACCCTCCTGTCCAGGCTGGAGGGATGCTTTCTTCTTGGCAGCTCGTCCCCTGCTCTTAGCAAATTTACTGTTGTTGTCCATGGATGCAGCTCTTCTCCGAGGGGATTTTCCACTCTTGCCTCCCTCTGGGTTGAGCATCCACCAAGAACTTTTTCCAGTTCCTTCATTCTGAACTCGAATAAACTTACTATGAAGTGACAGGTTATGGCGAATTGAATTCTGTAAAGCAAAACAGTATATTAGAAGTACAGTACTTGCTGCTTGCAAAATTTATGTTCAACAAAAAGGATCATATATACAATTTTCAATCTGTACAGCCTAACAGTTCTTTATTTCTGAGGAAGGAAAGATGACATTTCAGAGTTTCTTCTCAGCTTCCATCTTTACATGGGTTCCGAGGATCAAACTCAGGTTACCAGGCTAGGATTGTGCAATGAGGGCCTTTACCAACAGAGCCATTCCACCAGCTCTGAACAGTAGTAATAAAACCACTATAAAAGATCTCAAATTAGTGTAAGAAAGAAAACATTTTTAAATAGCACTTAACTTATGTCTCTAATTGAATAAACACAACTGTATTTTTACATTTACACACACACACACACACACACACACACACACACACAAGCCCATATAGCTGTATTTCTTTTATACAGTTTTCGAACCTTATCAAAAACAAAGCCCTTTCCAATTTTTTCAGGTAAAATAAACATCACAAAGTGAGACATTCTCTATCACTGGGTCCATGAGATCACAGAATGGAGAGATAAAAGCAGGATCTATCCCTATTCAGGAACTAAGACTGCAAAGACCTTCAGCATCCGCTTATAAGTTTCAGCACTTTGAGAAAGGTCTGAGGCCACTGTGAGCTACGTGGAAAGACCCATTCCAAAAAAAAAAAAGAAGAGAAAAAAAAAACCCCAGCCCCCAAATTAATACCTAAATTCATCTATTCTTTGAGAAACATTTAAAATTTACATTTAAGAACTCTAACAAAGAGCAAAATCCCCACCAACTTCAGGACCCTGTAAAAGAGGGTGCACTTTGTTCAGAGGGACAATGTGAAAGGAAACAGGGTGAAGAAAGCAACCTTAAGTGATGTTCCTCTGCTCCTATTCAGTGGGGGTGTATAGGCCAGCAAAACAAACCCAAGGCAAGTGTGTGCACACTACAAATACTCAGATAATGCCCTAGTCCTTTGATAAAGACAAGAAAAGCCCAGTTTGGCTTTTGAATTTGAGGGAGTCTGTGGCCTACACATCTAGGGAAGTGAAAACACTTACCCAAGGAGGTATCTTGTCTTAAGTTTTCTGCCCAGCACAGTTGCTATCTATTCATTTGGCAGCTCGATTAGATCCTGAGAGACTGAATCCCAAAGCCAGAAAAAGAATTGTAGGTAGCTCACAATCTTCAGAGCAGAGCTATGCACATGGCTGCTCAACTCTTTGACCTTTTCTGCCAACTGAGTGCAAGGCTAAGCTGCCCAAATACTCTGTGGCCCCTTTTGGACCACAAAAAGACTCTAGCTAGATTTGTGGTCACCCGAGGAGGCAGCCACAATGCCCACATCCTCATGCTGTTACAGGGAACGAAGGTGCTCATGTGCCAACCATTGTACCAGAGCAGAACAATACAGGGTCAGACTTCCACATGACCTTGACACATTCATGTTTCATGTCTTTTCTCTACAAGAGATGGAAAACAAAGAGTGTCGTGGTAATCTCACTTTCTAAAGACAAAAGTCAGAGAGAGAGGCCCAAGAGAGCTTAGAAACCCACATTTCAAAACACGTTCTGCACTACATTCCACCCAAAGATTGCAACACAACAGCTAGATGTCAAGTTCTTTTTGCCACGATGCATGGCAAGGGTGGATCAGACGTGACACGGCAGGAGCTTTCTGGTTGGATGCCAGGCAGTTATGTGGGTATGTGCCAGTAGTAGTCTCTCTCTCCTCTAAGACTTCGATCTATACTCCTACTTATGATCTATCACAACTCTGAGCCCGCTAAGAGGGGCCAGGTCTTGAACTCCAAACATCTCCCAAAGAGTTTAAGACATACATTTCTTTCGTGTTGTATCTCAATCCCCATATATTTTCAAAAACCTTGCTGTCCCCATCTCTCTATCATCCTTTCCCCAGCCCTATAAGCCTGAGCTAAGGCTTTGGCTGCCATGTCCACCAACACCAGTGATCACAATTCCCAATTCCTCCTTCAAAGCAGCAGCCAGCTCTGCAAACCTGCATCCCGCAATGCCGTCCACATGGTGGAAGACTGGGTTTTGGACAATATTCCATCATGACAATTTTGTTCTCTGAACACAATAGCGACACAGATAAATAAGCTCTGATGAAACCTCTGGAGGAGAGGTTTAGTTAATAACAAAGAGGAGTATGGGGGAGGAGGTCTTCCCAGTGATCAGCTTCCTGACTGCCTGCAACTAATGGGTCTGTGGGAAGGTTTGGGATGGGGGAGGCAGGGAAACAACTCTATAATGCCCAGGAAGATTCTGCCAGACCATGGCAAGCACACACGAGGGAGGGGCATTTTCAAAAGAACTGAAGAAGACAATAATAATGAAATCTTCAAAAAATTTAAAAACAGAAAATACTTCACTAACTTCAGAGTTAGTATCCACTAACTGCTTGGATTTTTTTATTTTTTATTTTTGCTTTTGTTTGGGCCACAGCAATTCTTTACTTATCAAAATATCACACTACATATTTTTCTGAGGACATTTCAGGTCACTCTGAGCAACAGAGCTGTATACTAACTTTGCCAACAATTACCCCCCCCCCCCACACACACACAGGAAAGAAGTTTGCTGTGCAGAGTTTGTTTCATAAATTCCTGTTTTTCATGCAGCCAGTGAGACATTAAAGAAGGGGCAGGGTGTGGGAGTGCTGCTATTACCCATACTGTGTCCACAATTCTCTGTCGAGAGCTGCCTGCAACTGTTAGAGCTCTGAGATAGTGAGGAAAGCAACACTGAGAACCGAGGATTGCACACTTACTCAAACCCTATTTTGAATGACACTATTAGATGGCTAAGGCAGGGCATCCATCCCCTCTGTACTAGCCATACTGCCCTACAGTGTTCTAGCTTTCTAGATCCAATCAAGTCTCAGCCACATTCCTGATGCTACCTGCATGGCTGAACACTGCAAGTAGTACAAGACATTCCAAGGAAGCCAGACTCAACAAGCTCTGCAAGTAAGATAGACAGAGACCCTGGTGGACTTTGATGTTCAACTGGCTTTGCTCTTGAGTATTCATTCTACCCTAACCCTCTAAAGACCAGACTCCCAAGTTCCTTAAACACAAGAAAGAAAATAAAAACTTGTTTCTAATCTCAAAGTCTCTACTAGATGTTCTGCATAGAGGATGAATTCAATAAACCTTTGATGACAGACACCCTGAAAACATTACAGGGTACATGTGGTATCTTACTATACACAGGCATCCATTCATGTTCTAAATTGTGACAGCTCATACATAGTACAGGACTTTCCCCCTCAGCCCTATCTCAAGGACAACAGTCCAACATATTAAATGAGGTAGTACATGTAAAAATGCTTACCTCCATCAATGTGAATGAAGCTAACACTACTAGGATAATAGCATCTTTAGAATGTTTTGTACTTGTTTATATTACATTCTCTCTCTCATGACTTTCCACTGTTCCCACTAATACAAGGCATTTATGTATTATTTACTGAAAATAGCAACTGGTTTTGTCAAGGAAGGTTATGGTAGTTTTTCAACATATGCATTGTCTCAATTGAAATACTAAAGTCCATTTCTACAGTACTGGTGTCCAGAGCAGAGGTGCTTCAATGGCTCTAGTTAGGATCTCCACTGGGACTGTTTGGACTGAGATCAGCTGTACCATCCTAGGGTGGATGAAGCTAGGCACTGTGTGGAAGGGGGAGAACCAGGAAGACACAAGACAGTTCACTTTGTACCTTACCCTCCCTATCCAAGATGCTTTTAACCTCCCAGTCAGGCAATCACCAGGTAGTCACTGAAGTGCAAAAGTAAATATTTAAAATTTGTATTTACTTTGAAGTTTTAAAACTCATTTAAAAATCTGTGTTTAACTATATACTGTAGAATGCACACAATGTATGTGCACTGCATAAATAACAATGCCCTATCAAAAAGGGCATGTGATTTAAACAAAACAACACTGAAGCCACTCATCCACTGTAGTAGATTTCTAGGAATGCTGATCTCCAACAAAAACCAGAGGTGAGGAACTAGCTGTTAAGTCACTTTTCTCTGTAACTCTCACCCCTGAGGTCTGTGTTGAAAACGTGTCCCTCTCTGATTACTGGTTTCAGCTCCCGTCACTGCTGGTGGATCTGGTGCTTCCTAGGCATCTTTCTTCATGCAGGCCCTGGCTCCTGGAGTCTGACCTGAGCCACAGTTGAGCTTGTTTCTCAGCCTGGGTGAAGGCCGCTACCTGATAGTCACGGTCTTTTTATATTTCTTTCTTTCTACTTTCCTACTGTAAGCACATCCTTGGTCTGTCTTTTCAACCAAGAATAACCACTAGATAGCAATTTACACTGAATGCATCTTGTCCACGAAATCCTGGCCTTTGTACCTTATACACAGGCTCTTCTTTTATGGTTTACTACTGTGGCTACATCTCATTCCACTCTTGTAACAACCCAATAGGGAGGACTACAGATTTTACCAGCCCCACTTTAGAAATGGAAAACCAAGGCAGTCCTCCCCCCCATTAGATAAAATTCAAAGAAAGGCTTTGTGATTTGTGACTCTACCTACAACACTACTGCAGGTTGACAAAAGTTACCTCTTTGCAGTCACTTGTATCAAGAATTAAACAAAGCACTGAAGTTATATGAATTTACCTTGAAGGAGTAGAAATAATTCCATCTACTACTTTATAAAACCCATAATCTGGCTTAATGGCTGATAGAGTTATACAACACAACTTGCTTTCCAGTGGGCTCCTCTTTATGACAGAAAACCACAGCAGCTGTAGTGTGAGTTTCAGGTGTGCATTGTCCTAGGGAAAGCCTATGTAAAAAGGCTTTGGCAACTCACAAGGAAAACACAATGGTCCCCAGAGACCTTCAGCTGTTAAGAACTGACACTTGATTGCATGGGTAATCAACACAAAGAACCTCAATGTTCTGAGACAAAAACATATGTCCCAAAAGTTCCCACTTGTAGAAATTCTGTAAAT